TTTCGTTCCTGTTTTGGGGGAACGTGGAGAATACTGGCACTGAGGCAGCGTAGAACCCGTACCCGTTACTAGAGGGCGCGGTTCTTTTTTTTTTTTTTTATAATATTTTATTTACAGACTAAAAGCAAAAATAGGGAACCAAAGGAGAATATTTCATTCAGTTCTGTGCGTCGCCCATTTGCCCCTTACTTCGCTATAAATAATCGAGAGGGCTTAGAGGGGAAAAAAAAAGTGTGCGGGGAGTACGTTATGAATGTTTTACGAGCAAAGCGCACGATTTTTCGATGGTAAAAAGAAAAAAAAAAGGTCCTTGCACACCGCGTACATAGAGACATACGCAAAACAAAACCCATTAGAATAACTTCCAATATTACACACGTGGACGCATCCATCCGTTTTGTGCTCTTTTCGCCGGAGTATACGTCGACGTTCGCAATAGTGAGTCTCAAATTTAATCGTTTCTTTACTTGTTTTCCGCATGTTTTTGTTTTGACGGGCAACGCTACGTTCTCTTCCAGTTGGAACACTTCGGCGAAATGAGCGAGGTTTTAGGTGACCGAGAAACTGCTAAGATACTTGTCTCGGCAACGTCGGAACGATTTATGCTACCACCGACGTCAGGCCGGAATGCTTCGTGAATTCAGAACTATCGCTAAGCAAAGGTGGAACTCTCACCAACAGTCAGTCTCACCCGGACACACTGGACGACGTTTAAGCTAACACTGGAGTGACGCAAATTGACATTGCGATTAATATTTGAAGCTATAACGTAATAAACCTCGCCCCGCGTTTGTTAAACAGGACCAGGCCGCAATAGCTTCGCTGTGCGCTGCGTGAAAGCGATTGCTGTCACGAGAAAGAGCAAAACTTGTAGGCGTAGAAAATTGTTTACAAGGGGACGACATTAGACTGAGTTCCATGCCCTGTCCAACTACATTCAAATCTGGATAGATCACACCAAGGCTGAGATGTATACGAAGTATTCACTGGCGGCCATAGCTGTGTGCGCGACTGCTGAGCGCGTGCTGATGGCGAGCTTCTACAGTTCTTTTGTAACGTGCATTCCGCACCCTCAAGATTGCCGGTCTTAGCAACCTATTGATGTGGGCTCGTTCAGAGCATGCGCTCTAGACATCACCCACAAATATGGCGCTTAGTGAATACTCCTTATTGTTTGCAGACGGCTGCGAAAGCCGGGCTCCACCTTTACGGCAGAAACGGCGAATGAAAAAAAAAAGAGAAAAAAAACGAAGGAATAGTAAGGCAAACGTTTGCAAAGGCTAAAGAAATAAAAACGGCTGTTTCACGACGGGCCATCAAATGCCAGATTCGAGCGACACGCTCGTGCATAATAGATCTATTTTCTAGGGTCGTCCCAAAATCGCTGGATAGAACTCTTCCCTCCTTCACGCCCTCACTCTCTCTTTCTCTCTCTCTCTCACACACACACACACACCCTTCCGCTTTCTAACGTTAGGCCCATTCCTTTTATGTAAGCGATTCACTTTTTTTTTTTCTTTTTTTGGTCGCTCGCACATCTCGTTGAGTCCTGGTGCCCGCGCGTATGTGTATGTATGTGTGTCACCGAGCTCTCAGGATCTAAATGCGTTAAAACCGCGGACAGAACGCGGTCCTCGTGGATTTAAAGTAACCCTACAAAATCGGGCAAAAAACAAAAAAACAAACAAAACAAAAAAACGAAACGAAATAACGGTTTCTACGGGAAAAAACAATGAAATATCCTGGAGAATTTCAATGTATATACAAACATTATGTTCTAGTTACAACACGGACGCGAATGTGGATGAGTCGCGCTGAGGAGTGCGGAGTGATTGTTTCACGCTCTAAAAGCCACGGTCCTGCTGCTAGTGGACAGTGGCTTTTAGAGACAGTCTACGGACACTGTCTGATGCTAGGTGGCGCAAGCTACCGCCCGTTACAAAGGGTATAGCCATCAGCATCCATTCATCCATAAACTGTTTGCAGACATGTTCGAAGCATACATCTAGCAAATATGACTCAAATGTGCTTGGGGCGTGTTCGCAGACAATTCTGTCATCATGTCCTCAACGAACCCCGTGTATTTTTTTGTATTATATATAAACTAGACAAGTACGACGAAAAATAGGATTGCAGCAAAATCACAAAACTCATAATACAATTAGATACAAAAAATAATAACAAAGGTCGTTTGAGCAGAGACAATGAACATGAGGGTTCATCTAATCAGTGTTTCTGCGCAGATCACTTTTTTTTTAGATCTAATTGTATTTTGAGGTTCGTCATTGGTTTAGGTTTTTCTTGTGTCCTCCGTGACTGACTGTCTTTGTGGCGTGCGGGAAAGTGAACTCGGTGACTTCTTTTTTTTTTTTTGTAACAAGACTTTCCTATTTAGACAGCGTAAGGTCGGTCTGCTATACTTCGTTTCACCCTATGTCCGAGCGCGGACGATGTTATGCGCAGGAGGGCCAATCAAATAGCGCAAAAAGCGCAACATCATGGCGTGCTCTCTGCGCTTGATAGGACAAGCCGGCAGAGGAGCACGCACAGAGAGACAGCGAATACCGGCTAGTCCTATCAACTGCAGCGAAAGAGGCACAACGCCATGACGTTGTGCCTCTTTCGCTGTTTGATTGGCCCTTCGGCTCATAACATCGGCCGCGCTCGGATCAAAGCTGAAACAAAGTATAGTGAAGTGAAGCGAAACTGTCCACGCTGTCGGTTAAAAATTTTGCCAGTGCAGTGCCTTTCGCCAGCTCGGGTCTTCGAGGTGCATTCCGCGGTATAGTGATAGGCGCTAGCACGCCGGTATAGGATGCTCGTCCAGATCGCAACGGGCGCAGAGACGGGCCCGGGGTTCCTGGGTGTTCTGCAGCAAAGCGAGCTTCGGCCACATGTGCTCCGAGCTGAGCTGCCCTCCTAACGCACTCGGCCACCGATTGCCCGGTCGCGTTCCCCGTTCGCGCGAATGTCTGTAATCTTCTCCGGCAGCACCGATGAATTCATTAGAAAGGGAGGTCCCGAGCGTTCCTCCCCGCTCTGCGGCTCTGACCGTCGGCCGGCGTGTCTGAGTGCGCGATGGTCTTCACGAGTCCGCTCTTTCGAGTTGCCTGCCGCTCGTGCATTATGCATGAGCCCGCGCTCTCCGGCCGTCCTCCCTTCTTTGCCTTTCGGTCAGAGAAGGTTTCTTGATGCTCTCTTCGATGCCGTCAACTTTTTTCAGCGGTTCTGTCGGACAAGCCAAGATATATATATATATATATATATATATATATATATATATATATATATATATATATTCTTTTAAACTTGCAGCGCCTTTTATGGGGCCGAAAGGATTGCTGGGAACATCCTGTACAGATCTTTTGATCTCAGTATGTAGTTGCTCGACCGGCGGATAAAGGGCGCTGACACAGGCGCCACCATTAGGTTGAATCAGTTTGGTTGGTCTCGGTTTCAACGTTCAGGCGCTTGTGTTGCTGTTTTATGTAGTTTTCGCTTAATTTTTTTTTATACAAATATGTTCCTTGAAGCACACAACCAATGAAACGGTACTGAGCCACTTTGAGGACTACGAAGTGGTTTTGTGCCTGAATTGCGGGCTTTTTTGCGACCTTCGATACATCTGATTATGGTCGGCGGCGAAACGACAGAACTGTTTGATAAGACTAGTTTCCAGAAAAAAAAAAAAAAAAAAAAAAAAACTAATGAAGAGTCTAATATATGAATGTAAAGAAGAACTAGCGAGTTTACTATTACTGTTTTTCGTGGACACCCAACTTCTAGTGAACTCCGGAGACTAAAAAAAAGTATCGTATAATGACGCACAACATTTAAATTAAAAAAAAAAAAAACGAATTATTTCAATCTGTTTTTCTTTAAAAAAAATTTACTCGAGAAATATTTCGACAATCCTACCTACGCCGAGTAGGAATTTTCTTTAATTATCAACCCTGTTAAAGTACTCATTAGCAGCACTTCACAATATTGGTCCTAGGAAATAAACCTTTTCTTAAGGGCATTTGCTTTCGGCGTTCTCAAGATATAAGTGACAGACTCATCAAAATAACTCTGACATTTGACTTCCGTAAAATTGGCCAAATAAAATTGAAGGGCAAAGAAGAAGTCTGTCAGCAAGTCTGGCTGAGGTCTATAAAGGGCGATTCGCACAACTGCGTTGAGTGCGACCCGGTGCGAGGGTAGCTATGGTAACAGCTGAGTCAGCTCCAGCAGAACGCTGTAAACACCGGTTGTGTCGGGGCCGACGCGGCTGTTGCCAGAGCAACCCTCGGACTGGGTCGGACTTAACGCAAGTGTGTGAATCACCCTTAACGCTAGGCGCCTTTCACGGACCTGTGTAAATATATCTCCATTTGTTTGAACAGATGCGCTTTACAGACTTAGGCCCCGTCGCCAGCCACTTAAGACTATATCTCAATCCGTCATCGGCAATGCTGGACTCCGGTGATTTTTATGCAGACGGCGTTTTTCTTCAGTATCAAATAGTGCGGACGGAATGGCACGTGTTAAAACAGAGTATCCAAAATCTTCGCGTGCACAAGGCAGTATAGATGTAAGCCTATACCTAAACGATCCAACCAGAGCTCGACGTTCTGACGTAACAGCGTACTATCGTCTCCTACCTTCTCTCAGTTCCTCGGCGCATAGTCTTTGTTTAATTGTCCATAAAGCACCCACAAAGACTTTCTCCGGGGTCCTACAGGCCTTTTGGATTCCTGTGCATTTGTGAAGGTATCCCAAAATTCCTGTACGGAGAGCTAGGACAGTGGGTCTTTGGGACATGTGGGAGACTGCGGGCTGGCTCTATATGACGAATCAACACACCCTATGGGAATAGGACCTTGGAAAGACAAAAAGTAAAAAGGGCAAGTTCTTGTCCTGCCTCTAACTTCTTGTCCTTGTCCGTAGCTCCTCGTGTCCTCGCCCGATGGTTACCCCACTAGCCCAAAAGTTCCTCTGTGTGGTACAGTCGCTCTCACCTGGTCCGGCGTGGAGGAACTGTCGGTGCTGTTGTGTCCCGTGGTGTCCGGGTTGTGGTGGCTCCTGCCCCCTCCTCCGCCTCCGCCGCCTCCTCCTCCCCCTCCCCCTCCTCCCGATCCCCCTCCCCCGGCGCCACCGCTGCTGTTGTGGTTGTTGTTGTTGTCGCCCAGGTCCCCGGGCTTGCTGTCGCGCTCGTCGATCACCAGGTCGATGGGCATCTTGCCCTTCAGGCAGCTGATGTATCGCTGACAGAAGTTGTCGCACAGCTCGTGTACCTGCAGGGAACGGGGAAGACAATCCTCAGCACACCGTAAGGCACATCTATACTCTAGTCGGTGACAGGTCAAGAATTTGTAGTAGACGCTCAGCCTTCAAACGTATTCGAGCTCTTCGAACGCGAACGCCGAGCGCTTGACGCGGTCGGTTCGAACGCGTTCAAAGAGTAGGGACAAAGACAGCTGGCTTTGCGTCTACCCACTAATCAATCCAACCAGAGCTCAATGTTCTGACGTCCCCGCTCACTCTCGTCTCCTCCTCTCTCTCAGTTGCTATCCGTATAGACGTTTGCAAGGACGGCCTTTGGGCGCCGCTATCTTGCTGCTGGTGTGGCGAGATCGTCTGATAGTCAAACATTGCTGAGGCGTACCCACGACCTCAGCAATGCTTGTCTTGCAGACGATGTACTCACACCAAACACAAGATGGCGGCGCCCAGGCCGTCCTTGCAAACAGCTATAGGCAACAATCCCTGTGTGTATGGTCCGTTGTCAATCTGGACACTAGTCCGAGCTTGTCTTCTTTCTGACAAGGGCACCAGTGGTCGCTGACAGCTTGCAGCACCCTGATTTTCTTAAGCTGCCCGTGCCCCAAAGAGCCACTATATAGGCTGCACTTCCTAGTAACAGGACTTGAGCCATATTATGTACTAGAATCGATATTCCCAGTTGTCACCGGCTTTCGCCAAGGTGTCTGATGGTAAATGCAAGAAGTGCTTTCCAGCGTAGTTGCTTGCTGAAGCGGTTAATGCTATAGTGCAGTTAACACCGCCGAAACCGTTAACCGCACATGTGCGGCTCAAGGCGCCAAAATGGCGGCCCCCGGCAGCCACCGATACGCAAACGAATGTCAAGTGATGTGAACGAATGATGGCCGTCATGGGGGCGTCGGACAATGGGAGAAAGAGTGTCTATGCTCTCAGCTTTGCTTTCTATAGGGACCTCCGATGTTGTCCCTTTTGTTACCCAGCAACAAAACAGCGGATGCTGATTGCTTACGTATACACAGACATGATGCAAAACCACAGGTTGTGGTCGCGTTGCTCACGGCAAACAAATGCGAGTTGCGCGGTGAGCGTATGTCGTCAACATTATGCGAAAAAGGTCAGTTCATGATTGTGGTTTGAAAAGAAGATTGCTGGGGAACCAACAGCAGGGGGTGTTGATACACAAGGCCACGAAGAGATTGACCCGCAGAGCCACAGGATAGCCTATATGTCGAGCGAATGGTTATCAGATTGCCATCGTTTCAATGTAACTAACCGCATCTGAATGTATTTTTCTTCGTTACTGATTGCTTTTCTTCGGGAAATGTTTATCCAGGTACCGCGTATTTCTCCAGAGCCTCCAGCTGCCGACAATTTCAAATGTATGCAGTTAAAGTTTAGATTTGTATTTCTAACACTTAATCTTCCCCGCTATGACACGACAGCGGGCAATGTTAATCCTAGAATAAATAAAGAATAAAGAACCCCTAACGTCGTAACTGGCGTCTATTTTTAAAGTTTTTTTTCAATTTTTTTTTTTTTTGTAATCGCATTTTAGTTTTGTACAATCGTCCTCACGCCTGCTTGGCTTCCCTATTCCGCGTATCTCATCGCTCTCCAACTAACAGTAACACAAAGTAGCCTTTTCCTACGTCGCCTCGGTCATTATAGACATTATATCATCTGCTCTCAGCGTGGTACAAAGCAAATCCATCTCTTCTTTTCTTTTTTGATATCCGATGGTGCGATCTATCTTTGGAGCCCCCCTCCACGCTAGTTTGACGTACAGGTATCCGTGCCTCGGCGGATTAACGCTATAAATAGTAAGTAAACGACCTCTTCTCAATTCCGCCAGCTCTGCGATCGCTTAAATTAAACCACACTCACTCATTTGTTCGATAACAAAAAAAAAGTCAGCTGACAGTGTTTTTTTTTTTTTGTTTTGTTATTGAAGTAGGCATTTCTTTTTGTTTTTATCTCTAAACCGGACTCACCGTAATATCTTCTTTTTTTAACGGCAAGTTTTAAGGTGATGCAAAGTATAGCCAAAGACAGTCTCACTACCGTAACCAATAAAATCCTTAAATGCACAGTAACGGTTTTCCTTCGAGCCTCTCAGAAGTTTGCTCGCTCCTATATACAGTGCAAAAAAAAAAAAAAAAAACATTGTGCGACGTGTAAAACTACTCGCTCCTTGGATCATATGTCAATGCTCCGTTTTCACCTCGCGCCGAATCGCACCTCGGACGCCGCGAGTGAGCTCAGCCAACCCAGGACTGTGAACGTAGCCGAACGCTGCTACATTTACGGCTGCATCCCTTCCGAATTGTTACGTGACACGCAGCGTTGAACTCGCTTCGATTACTCGTAATGTCCACCAACGTCCATCGCGAGGTATAACGGAGCATACATAGTATACGAGAAAAACAAGAAGAAAAAAACCTCACCAAGTTATTGCATAATAGTACTTGGCGAGAGCAGTTGCCTGTCAGAAAGGACAGGCATACACACATCTCGAAGGGCCCCCCTAAAAACAAACATCTGAGGTCATAAACCAGCTTCTACACCGATGAAAAGCGAAGGGCGCCCAACCTGCATTAGAGTGTGCGCGGTGTCCCCTTTCGACAGAAAGCATCTCCGTCGATAACGCGACGATAGCCCAAAGGAAAAGGTCTTCGTTCTAAGAGCCAACAAACAGAAGCGAGTCAAAGTATGGGCACAAGTGTATACGTAGGAGCAACAGCCGCCATCCGTCCGCTCGACGCCGACCGAGGAGCCAAAGGTGATCCCACTAACGGCGCCCCCAACTAAGATGAAGAAGGAAACCGATGAAAGGTGTTTTTCGTGTTCCCCGACCCACCCTGGCGGGAAGTGATCGGCCGAGAAAACCAGTATGGGACCACTCGGCGCGCTGGATAGGGGCCCTCCAAGTGAGATAGATTTCTCCCAAATGGAGTCCGGACGACGATCGACTTCTTCCTTCTCTCTCTCTCTTTGATAAATTCGCCTCTTGGTGTTTTGTTTGTTTGTTTGTATACTCGCTTCTTCATCCGCCGTTTATATCGGAGTTGTCATTACGACGTCTCCCTCGTTTCCTCTATTTTTTTTTTTCGGCTGGGAAAAGATTGCACCGATCCACGGCGTGGCTCTTGAAAGCGCACGATTACAGTGTAATTTTATTTATATATTCATATATTCACTTCGGCGAGACGTTTTACCCACTCCTTGTTGGATTAATGTAACTGACTTCGTGACCATATTCCGAAAAAGTTTCGTATATACGAACAGTATGAAATCGGGAAAGGCGTAAACATAATAGTGTGTTTCAGTATTGCGTATACGAGCGAACGCAAGCCCTGTGCCTCTGCGTTAGCGTTGCGTGTTCCACACTGCGCGTGCGCGGAGCCCACACTGCGACTCGGATTGGCGCATGGCGACTTCGCGCGTGCGCATCGTGGAGAACGGAACGCTAACGCAAACACACCGCGCTTGCGTTTGCTCATATACGCAATACTAAAACACTCTAATGGCCTAATTCTTGGCTTAGTTAATCATTCTCATGGTAACTATACTGTTTAAGGCCTTTTCTTTTTTATGCTATATAAGAACACCAACTCCTGTTCCAGATGTTACGAAGAGTTAGTGGAGCTGCTTGGTGGAGATCGGCATATGCGAATGCTTGGCTCTTGGACAAGCGAGTTTCTACGAATGTGCAAACTCCACCTTTCTACTGGACAACGTGCTTGTTCCTAAACAATGCGCCTGACCACGTTATAAGGTCGTACTGGAGGCCAACTAATCTACGAGAGCGTGACCAACTCTCACTTCCGGTAGAGGTAAGCACCGTCTCCAGCGCGAGGTTTGCAGGTGCAACGTGCAGCAGTTAAAGCACGACTGAAGGCAAAGAACACGTATTGATGGCGAAACTCTTACTTCGTTCTTAACCTGTCACCGAGTATAGAGCTGAAGTGCTTATTAAAAGTAGAAGAAAAAAAAAAAAAAAACATGTAGAACTTGATCCGAGTTTCGGTACTGAACAAACGTTAAAATCTAACCGCAAATAGATTCGATAATTGCAATTTTAATTCTATTTAACTTAACTTGACTTTGGAAGAGTCATCTTCTGCGTGCTTACTGGACAACCAAAATCCTGCAAGGATTGTGACGTTAATGCTTGTGATTGACATATTTTTTTTTTTTTTTTTGCTACTCATCTAACGTGTCTTCCAATTTCTCATACGGTGAGGTGAAGTCGTCATCGTTGTGTATAATTATAATGCAATTAAATGCAAAGGGGCAAGCGAGCTGGACAAGAATGACGGAAATAATCCCTGGGGAAGGGGAACAAGAGGGACGAAGGACTTTCGTCCCTCTTGTTCCCCTTCTCCAGGGATTATTTCCGTCATCGTTGTGTATAGCAGTTTTTTTTTTTTTTTCGACTCATTCGTAATTTTATTACTCTCTTGGAATGACTCCCTCCCTGATCCGTAGCAAACCAAGATGCTACGTGCACTGACCGCGGAATCCCATCTGTGGCACCGTGCTTAAAACGTGGCAACGCATCAAATACACACTGGCTGTTGCGAGAAGAATAGACCCTTTTCAACGGTTCGTCAAGCAACAATGGTGGGCTCCATACTTTGGACATCGCTTTCTGCGCGAGGCTTTGTGGTTGAATCCGAGTTTGCGCCGAATGCTGAAGTTGTACTCGTGTTGGACCCGACTACGCGCCGAACACCGGACGCCGAACACTCGTCTAGAACGCATGCTCAAAGCGCACGCCCAAAATACGGCAGCCTCGGATAATCGACGCAGCAGCTATACTGGAGGCCACGGCCCTTTCGAAGAGAGTCTCCTTACGTGGAGCAATAGACTCTCTTCAAAAAAGCACGCGCCATTGCCAGTCCGCCATTGCTTGATCACATTGAAAGCCGAACTTCAGGCAGAAATTCTACTGTCGAGACCGGATATAACGAAGTCGGTTATTACGAAATAGCGGCTACAGCGAAGTGAT